ATTTTGGTTTTCCTTCATTTTTTTTATTGGTTTGCTCTTTCTGTCACATATTCCCTCTTTTATTCTGCCCTCCTATTATTCCCCAGACTCATAATCTTGTTTATGGAAAGTGAATATGACTTTTTTTTATCACCCAAGAGAGGATTACATGTGTCATTATTTTGCTCACAAATTTTTAAGGACAGTTTTATCTGGRTTTGTTCACCACAGATTGCCTTTTTGTGACTGATTATTTCACCCGTACGCCTCGTAAGCTGAATGCTTTCAACTCCTTCGCCAGTGTGGAACTGTTCCACTTCAATGTGCCTGAAGACACAATGATGGCCGTATGGAACCTCATCACCTTCAAGGAGCAGGGGGGCACGTTTGGGGACAGCTGCCCGAACCGCAACGTGACCGTGTAAGACCCCGACTCTAAACTCTTTTTCCTTCTGAGGGAAACAAATAGACAATAATAAACCTCTTACATGTGGGGAGGAAGGCGGAGGCTGCTGTTAAATCTGAGCAAGGTCAACTCTTAACAGCAGCCTGGATCCATAGAGGAGCTGCTATAAAAACATTCACAACATTAATTTTTAATTTGGCTTTTCTATTTTTGTCATGTACTGTATTTATTTTTATTTGCTGTTCTTTCTCCTAATTAACTAAATAGGCACTGCTGCTCTATTTGATTTTCAATCACTAATATTTAATCAGCGTTTAAGCAGAAGTTCAGACCTTTTGAAGTAGGGTTCAACAAGAAGGTGCTAGGCAGTATCTTACCTGTTGTAGACAGCTCTTGGAACACCTCAGTTTGAATTTTGATGAGCTAATGGCTTGTCTGAGKGCTTCATTCAAATTATATTTTATAATATTCTAAACTGCAATCAGTTTTAAGTTGTTCTTTACATAAAATTCCCTTTTAAAATGCACAAACAGCASCAGCAGCTTGCTTTACCACTTCCTGTGCAGCCAATGGCGTAATGCAAAATTGATGGTAGTTTGAACGTTTTAAAATAAAGGGAGTATGCTGTGAACATTTAGCAAAGGGAGATGTTTAAAGGGGCAATATCATGTAAAATCAACTTTTTTGAGTTTTATATCATGTTATAATGTTATACTCTCATAAAAAACATGCCCAAAGTGTTGCTTTGACTCATTCATGCATGTTTGAGTAATCCTGCAGCGTTTTTAGGAAGCCATGCTGAGGAGCAAAACGACAGGTGGGGACCAGAAACGCCTCTGGGAACCAGAAACACCCCTGGGACGTGTCTTTAAGCCGAACTTCCTCATGGCGGAGCTCCCCCCCCTCCCCAAACACCACGCCCATGACTCCTGCAGGCTCTCCGCAGCAACAGAGCAAAGTGAAAGTGAAACTTAACTGTCTGCTGCTCTTAACACTAC